TGTAATCCTGGAGCAAAAGAGAGGGACCAACCTCTCTTAGTCTAGAGGGACTAACCGTTTTGTTTGCAGAACATGTTACTACCAGTTTTCACTCATTCGTGCTGCTCTCTAAGGCAGGAGGACCAGCTAGAGGATCCTGGTGACATAAGAAATATCCCTTCTTACTTTCTGGATGAGCAATTAGGCCCACACCTCAGCAGAAACAGTTATTTGACTCTCTCTGCAGACAGTCTGAAACCATCAAAAAGAGATTTCATTTGTGTTTAAATTAAAGTGACCCTTTCCAGCTGAACAGTTTAGCATCTAGGAGACCTAAAGAAGAGTGTTCCAGTAATAAAAAAGTTGTAACATGTAAAGTTTGGTAATTTCAGAGGAAAAACAGGGAGCACACTTATATCTAGCCTGACAATTCCATGGTAAATGTACTATTGGCACATGCTCCATCAATACTCTTAATAAAACATCTACCTGATCTTTATTCTTGTTCAGTCTGATCTGGTATGAGCTTTGGATCTTGGTGCACATGTTATGGGCTTTACTGGCATGATAAACCTGGCAATCGGATCCAGTCAGATTCATAAGCAGTATCTTTCTGACTGCAAAGCATCTGTATACTGTGGGCAGACTGTGCAAAGAACATGTAAACTGCTTATGCATCCAAACGGGAAGTAATATCCATGCCAGGTTTAGCATGTGGTTTATGAAATGCAAATTAACTAAAAGGTTGAAGATGGGCTTCTGGATCTGAAGCCTCCTGATGAATGCAAAGATATAGGACTCACATTCAGGTCTGAAAGGGACCTCTCTGTCATCAAATCCAGTCATTGCCGTTATAGCAGTCATTTCACCTAGCCCTGATGGGTGTGAAGTGCTCCATCTTCTTGGGTGGAAGGGTCTTCTAGAGCCTTCCTGCTCTATTTCTTGTCTGTTTGTTTTTCTTTTCTAACCACCAGAAAATGTTAACCTGTTGCTGTACCACTGTCATTAATGAAGCTCTCAGACAAAATCAGAGCCTTGGAAATGTCACTAATAACCTTTCTTCAGCTTACTACTGCTCCTTCAGCACTACCTATCTCTATCTCCCTTGGATGAGCCTTTCCCATTTCCCTACCAGTGGCTGGCCCCTCCAATTCCAATACAATTTTCCATGTGAGTCAGCATCCAACGCTTCACAAATAGACATAGTTAAGGTCCACTATGTTGATTCTGTCTAGAAAATTGACTATCAGACTACTCTTGCATACTCTAGTTTTGGTAATTTCTTGTTATATTTCATCAGTTTCCTCTAATTCTCCTTTTCTCTAATGAGCTTTCATTCACTATTTGTTCTAATACCTTAAATGCAGACAGAATAACAAGCTTGTACTTGCCTGAATCACATTTGTTCTCTACTGAAAATATCAGTGCTACTTTTTCCTATTCTCCAGTCATACAGTAACGCTTCTTACTGAAAAGATTTATTAGAAACACACACTATCAAATTGTTAAGCTTGTATGGCTTTTCTTCCAGAACTCTCTGGTGGAAAACATCTAATACCCATTTTCTGGTTTGAGCATATATAGCTGTTTGAATTACTCTTTCTCATTTGTGTTATCTTCTTGCTTTGCCCTACCAGTTAATATCACAGTCCTGTTTTCAAAAATAACAAATTATTTGTGCTACTACAGGTATCACATCAAAGCTTTTATTTTCTCCCTACTGTATGAAACCCCTGGTATTTTTTAACTGATATTTCTGAAGAACCTTTTATTATATAAATATTTTCTGCACATCCTATCTTGTCCCTGAACTTCTTGACCTCTTAAACAAATATTTCTTTACTGATCAGTCCTTCCTCCTTCCTGTATAGGCTTTCTGATTGTTCTGAAATACCCTTCTAGTCAGTCCGCCAAAGAGATCCATTACCTGCAAATTGTTTAACCCCTGTGTCATTTGGGGTATAAATGACAGACAGTCTTGCATCCATTGACTGGAAGAAATTCAAATCTTCCTTTACGTGCAAGGCCTGGAGTCCTCAGCCCAGTTACCCATACTGAGCAATTCTGGCAGTTCTTCAAAGTTTACCCATACCTGTCCTTTTGAAACAGAACATCTTTTTTTTCCCCCCCAAAATTTACTTCTTGTTTATCTTTCCATTCGTTTCTCTTATCTATGCATATAAAGTGAATCATTTCTTTAGCATTCAACCCAAGACTATTTTCCATAGCTAGCTTTTCCATGCTGACTAGCGCCAGCTCTCAAAACACCTCCTCTTGGTTCACGGGCGGTTTGACCATCAGAATTAAGGAATCTGAATAAGCTATCATCCTGGTTGCATCGGAAAGGTTGGGCAGAGCAAATCACTGGTTCGCAGGTGGCTCAGCAGTGCACTTTAATGTGGAAGGGAACCATGAAATGAGAGGAATGACTCAGCAGTTAGAGTCAAGAACTCTATTTTCTAGGCCATTTGCTGGAGCTTATTATTTCTAATAGTGTACGGTAGATCAGGCATTTTCTTGTTAGAAAGAGAGGATGTGTCTGTTTGGGGATTTTTCTTTCTCTCTATTTGCGCTGATTTAAAAGCTGAAAATGACTGTTTTGAGAGGTTTGTACTATTTCAGTTTTTCAACATGCAAAATGGAATCTTTCCTTTTTTTGCAGGAAAAAAAAGCCATAATTAAAATTCATTACATATTTTGTTCTTATTATTCGTGGATTTGATTGGCTAAAATCTTTCTGCTGAAATTCTTAATTCGATCAAAGCATCTCATCATAAATTGATAAACTTAGAAGTGGTAACTTAAAATATCGATAAAATATATTAATAAAATTTTATCCTACATTTGTAAGTGTTCACAAACTTTTCTGAAAATATCACTGGAAAAACATATCTACAAAATTTCAATCAACTCTAGTTCATATAAGCTCATCCATGAGTTTGTATCTAAAGCCCTAGACACATGCAGTAAAGACAGTATAGGGAAACACCAAATATTTCCTCAGCTGTCAATTTAAATAAAATGAGCATGGGTGGTCTCAGAGAATCTCAGTGATGTAAATTTAAAACACCAGTCAACTTCTTTGTTAATGTTGAACTTGATTGGCTGGCGCTCATTAAAGCATTACCTACCTGCTACTCTTTTTATTTGTAATCCAGGATGTAGGCACAGGTAAGTTAACACAAGCTAATTTTATGGAAGTTAAAATCACGCCTTTATTTTCTATTGAAAAAAGGCCTCTATAAACTGCATATAGAAGGTTACTGAGGTCTGATTCTTCACTGCTTTCTTTGGTGCAGCTGTTCAAAACAGATGTAAAGACGTACAAAATCAGCATGATAAATTTAGTATTCCCTTATGCACTCTCTGCACAGCTGATTCCCCAAGGTATACAGTTTTGGATAATTTGAGTTGTAGGAGTATGGGACGAGTTAGAAAGGTATATTCTTCAGTGAGGAGAGTGAAAATAAAGGAGAGCGTGAAAGTTAGAAATAAAGTTTTCCTTAGAGAGCTTGGTGCCCAGGAGCTGCCAGATAGTATCACATACATTCCTCATGCATTTTTGGCTACTGGGTGTAAGTAATTCTATAAAGCAAAATAAAGATGAAAATGGAAAGTTAAAGAAAACTAATCAAACATCAGCTAATCTTCTGCTTGAATGGAAGGTCTATTAATGTGGGCATCAGCCTTTCTATCTTCCTGTACTTTGCGTGAGGAAAAAACCCAGCCGGTGCTGGGCTAAATATGATCCTTCTATTTTTGCAGTCCTCCTCCCCTTCCCTTGCAACCATGCCTGTTATGCAGTACTGGAGCTGAAGGTAATCAGTTTAGCACAGGAATAAGATTTGATTATTTTTGTTTTACATAGGCTATAAACCTGTCCAATGTGTTTTAAAAATCCTTTCACTGTTCAATTCACTCGGCTTTCACTGCAGGGAATAACTCTTCATTAGAAATACGAGGGGTCTTGGTACACAGTATATTTGTTTCTTCTTATTGTAGTCCTTGAAATTTTTAATCACATCTCAGCCTAAGATTACCTCAGTGGACTGTGAAAGATATTATCCTTCTTTGCAGCTAGGCTGTGGTCTCTTGCTGGCTGGCACTGGTGAACAGGTTACAAGCAGCAGCTGCTGGTTTGGCAGTCGGTTCAGTTCAAGGAGACGGTAACTGTCGGGCAATCCATACCCACCTAATAAAACGAGCTAAAATCATCAGGGGATCCCTAAACAAGAGCCTGCTGTATTGAAAAAGAGGCAGTCTCTAAATAAACTCTAGAAGGTTTCTAGCAGCCAGGATGCAAGGGGAAGTTGTCTTCCCTTGGACGTCTACATAATCATTTAATTTAATCCTTCCTGCGGTGTTTCCCAGCCACTGCTTTAGCTCTTTGATCATAATATGCTAGGACAAATGCCAGGAAATATGAGTCTGCAAAGTGATGTAAATCTTGTTCCCTATCGGAGATGTGACTATGAACATTATCTTCATGATTCTTTCTTTCTTATGTGTTTATTTCTGCTCTGTTTTTCCAGTTCTATGATGACCGAGAAAAGCAATCACTTTCAAGCTAAAAAATGAAGTTATCTAGTATTCAGACCCTGGTTAAGAGAGAGTACAGTAGCTTGCACTTTGAGGTGAGGAAAAGCCAGATTGGCCTGAATATCATCTGTAAGCTATATAATATTGTGATATTTGTAATCAACCATGGCTTTTGGTTTTCATCTTGTTTGAACTCACTTCAGCTCTGTCATTGGTATGTGTGATGAGACCCACATTTATGTTTCTGTGTCATAGCAGTCAAACACCATCAGTCAAACACTGCTGTTTCTTTTCCCACCTTTCAGTAGCTTAGGCTGTTATGAATTAGAGTGAATGAAAAAGAAATCTTAAAAATGATAGATTTATATTAACAAAACCAGAAAATAGCATCAAATAAAACTTGGACATAAAGCCTTTTTGGTTCTTTTGAGATTTGTATTTACTATTAAAGAAAAAAAAGAGCAAGAGAAAAAAAACTGGGAAGCACTGTATCACTGTGGTAGCATATATTTTACACCTATTTGATGTTCCATGGGATTACATTGCACAGTCGAAGTCTTTATACTAAAGGGAAAACAATGGTGAAATGTAGAGGACATTGAACCATAGAAGAAAATGTTTCGCTACTGCTAATATTTTGTAGTTTACTAGGTAAGATCTTTTTTAATTTAATTAAATGACATTTGGCAAGAACTAAAACATGAACTTGTATTCACGTGGTGGGAGCAAAGATAAATGTTTACTGAATTAAGATGTGGCTGATCTAAAAGCTATCTGATATTTTAACTCTGTGAGCCAAAACTCTTTGAGAAGAGGCTCTTCACAAACATGCATGTGCCAACAGCCATGGTCACTTCTTTTCTTGCCTGCTGATAAATCCGATGTGCTGGATTTCCTGTTGAAATCAAGTCTGAAAATAATTGGGAGCCCATTTCTTCAGAGAAAAAAGCACTCTTTTTATAAACTACCATTTCCCACATTTTCTCTTGTTAGTTTACCAAACTACACAGTGGGTGTGCATAGTAGGTCTTAATTCCAGCTGGGGTACTTCTACACTGGAATCAGGCTGCCTCCACTAGACTGCTTAATAGCGCAGTAAGCTCCTATATTGTCATTTAGTAAAGGATGTTGTACAAAGGTGGCAGAATCTGAACCTTTTCCTAACTGATTTCTGTTTGTGAGCTAAATCGCTGAAAGTACATATTTTATCCATGGAAAACATTATTATTCTCATTAATGAAGTTTGTTGATCATCATCTTTTCATTTCTGCAGCAATTATGATTAATTCCCATTTTCTCTTCTGATTTTCTTCACTCTGTTGTGGGAATACGGGAGAGAAGACACCTGTCATACATTTAAGAATCTCAGATAAAAGTGGCTTGTATAACCAGTTAGTTGACATTTTCAATATGTCATTACCTCTTACATTTGGGTGGTCCTTCTGGAACTCCCCTAGTTTCTGAGCACTATATAACCAGCCATCCACATATCATTTTGTAATATCTCAGAATCTGATGAAATCTTTTCTTTTAACTAAGTGATTTAAATCACTAATATTTTCTCTGAAATCTTAATGGTCTTATTTGCATACAAATCTATCATTTCACAGAACACACAAAAGTGGCAGACCTAATATGAATTTCCCATCGGATGTGTCTGTGAGTGTGGAGCCAATCTTCACTGAAGAAGAAGGACTAACCAAAGCCTCTCCCATCTCTCAGAAATACTTGTCAAAAAGTACAAATGAAAATATCTACTTTTCACATAGCTCTCTTCCTACCTGCCTATATCCACCTGGCACTTTGTGATAAGGTCATGTCCATATACCGATTGCAGGTGTGCAAATGGTATTTGCAGGTTGATTTATGTGCTTTAGAAAACATGTGCAATAAGTAAACAAGCACCAAACAAATGAAGTTATAGCCTGTAAGTGGCAAAGCAAACATGCACATTAAGAAGATAAAAGAGTTTTGTTGCGCATTTTAAAAATATAGCCTTTTAAAGATACACATTAAACAAATGTGCCTAAAATACTTCTTTGGTAAGTGGAATGGGAGGAACTTTTTTTTTTTTTTGCCACAGTGAACTTTACACTGCGTTCTGTAATGTTGTGCAGAGAAGCATTTGTTAAAAGAACCTGCTTGAAGGTGCTTTCAAGAACAGAAGATGCTTTTATTTATAACCTCCAGAATTCCCAAAATGCAATGGGATACAAACATACTTGAAAGCAGATTTTATAATAATATGAGAAGATGTGAATGCCTGCTGTGCTGAGCTAGTTTGATTATGCTGTAAACCCCTTTAAAACTGAGTTTAACAGATCTTTTGGGAAAGACAAGGAAAGTTAAAACAAGGCTTCACAATAGGCCCAATACGAGATAGGAAGAAGCTGGTTACTGCACATGCTTGCGCTTTTTCTTTCAGTTTGAATGAAAACAGCCAACGCTTGTAAATCCAGGGAGAGAATGAAGTAAATACAGAGTTCAATATTTCAAATAGATGGCAAACTTCTAAATTTCTATTTACTAGGCTTTCCCCTTAAGAAAAGCTGCTTAAAAACTGCTTCAGGCAAGCTCTGCAGCTGCTGCTGTCCCTCTTATCTGAGAACAAGTCTTCCTCCTTCTTTTCATCTGCTACTTTGGGTGCTTGGATCTGGGAATCAAGCCTAGGGGTAGGATTGCGGTAGGCATCAAGGGAGAGTGGGGAGCCTGCATCCCCCCCAGTTCCCTCTCCATGTTTCTTGGCTCCACCTCCGGGACCAGGGAGAACATCTCTGCAGTGTCAGGGTCAGTGATGACCCAAAGTTTAACAAAAGTGCTGCCTGGAATATAAAAATCCTGTTTAGTGAGGCTTTTGATGTTATTTACTTACTGGAAAGGAATAGGTCCTTTGAAACTGAGAGATGGTTCCTGGAACGGTCACATGGCTTCAGACAGTCAAAAGAATGAGGGGGTCCAGGTGCAACTGCCTCCTCTGTGTAACATGAAAGGAGCTGAATGCCTCCTATTTTGGGTTTGTTTAAATGAAATGTACTTGTTGGATAAAGGATGCTGATGTCTTGGCTTGCTGAGCAGGACACTTGCCTGAAACGCAGATGACCCAGATCCAGTTTTGAGTTTCAGTTCCAGTTCCAAGTTGGACGGAGCAGGGACTTGAACTTGCAATCAATTCACAAGTGAGCACCACTAACCTAAAATCTAGTAGCCAGAAGAGCTCCTGGGATCTTTTTAATTTTAATTTTGTTACCGGGATTCCAAATTGGAACCTATAATTGCACTCAGCTGTAGTTTCATTGAAACAAATACATTCCTATAGAATTTGATTTAAAACGAATTGGCATTTCCTGCCAACATCGCTGAATCAAGAATATTTCGGGGAGCTACACTAGAGAAAGATTTTTAAAAGAAGACAAATGGGAAGGATAAAAGGAGAGAATGGCAGGGGATCTGAGAAAAAAAGGTAAATGAGCCAAAATAAAGTCCAGTTTGGAAGGGAAACAAAAACTTGTCTTCTCTTTTTAAAATATCTCGAAAACATTCCTGGTTTGTTGCCTGTCCTACTTACAGTTACAAGGCCAACAGACTTGCTGCTCAGCAACGAGTGTCAGGTCAGAGAAGGAACCATTTACTAATTCACTGGGCTATTAACCTCAGTTTTGGATTCAGATAGCCTTACTTATAGCCAGAAAACCATCTCTAGAGCCCAATTTAGACTCAAGACCCTACATGGCTTGATGTCTATTGTAACCAGTATGGCTTTCTTTCCTGCCTTTTTCCTCACCCTTTTCCTTTTATACTTTATGAAATAAAGTTTATTTATGCAAGTACCCTTTTCTCTTATATATTGTCCTCAGGCAGAGCAGGATTCTTTTTTATTGCATTGACATTGTTTGCAAAACCGTTCTGCAAGGAATCAAAACCTCCTGCTTTGTTCCTTTGAGCAGATATGTTGATACACTTTTTTTCCTCAGAACACCTGATTTATTCTTTTGAGTAAATCATCTGATTTGAGAAAAGATATCTGCATGCTATTAGTTTCACAGCTAATGAAGTTAAATTTGTTAACAATGAGGCACTACAATTTGGTTAGATTGAGGAGAGGCAATGCCAAAAGATATTAGAGCTTTTTTTTCCCCATCTCTTCTACTTAATTCACCTACCATACAGTGTAAATGCTCAATCTCACCTGCCTTACAGCTCTGCAGTCTCTTGGGTAAAATCTGCAGGTCTGTGGTCATTTTCCACTTCAGCTGCAAAAAGTGACGTGATCTAAACTACCATCAACGAACAAATGTGAGGGTTCTTGTATCACTAGAAGATGAGCAAGGTCCAGTTTAACTGGCAGGTAACTTGTAATGAAGTGAAACAATTGCCTGGGAATCACAAAGGCCTAGATGTTAAGAACCATCCTGGATATGTGCAAACCTAAGGATCTGAAAAATTCTACAGTCTTGTGTTTTTTGGGTTTTTTTTCAATTCTGTGCAGACTTCTTAGTAGTGTATGAGGTCTAGAACCAATTAACATGATGATAACCCAAATGATAAGAATAGGTAATTGAAAGGGTTTAAGGGTTTCCTTAAGCTAGGAAAAGCACTGGAGTTCCAAAACATCAGAAAGCAGACAGTTTTAATGTGGTGTAACAGGAGAAGACGTAGATGAAAATCTCATACAAAAGCAGATAGGTAGCTCGACGGAAACAGAAAAATGGGCCTTCTGGTATAGAAGACAGTTTACCTTCCCATATAAAGCAATCTCACCAGCTCACCATCAACCAGAACATGTGGTAGGTTCACACAAAACTAGCAAATCCCACCAAGAAGCCACCACGCCTGACCAACCCCAGAGCACGTTAGTGAGATGATGATGCTTCTGTAAAGGATAAGGTGCCCCAGAAAGGCATCCTAGGAAATTTCCAGAACATCCTGAAGATTACCAGAGGAAATTTGGGAGGAATACAGGGACGTTGTCAGAGTGTGCAGGGATGCGACAAGGAAGGCTAAGGCCCATTTGGAATTACGTCTGGCAAGAGATGTCAAGGACAACAAGAAGGGCTTCTTCAAATACATCAATAGCAAAAGGAAGACTAGGGAAAACGTGGGCCCACTGCTGAATGGGGTGGGTGCCCTGGCAACCAAGGATATAGAGAAGGCAGAGTTATTGAATGCTGCCTTTGCTTCAGTCTTCACTGCTAAGGCCAGCCCTCAGGAATTCCAGACCCTGGGGACAAGAGAGGAAGGCTGGAGAAAGGAAGACTCTCCCTTGGT